GTCCTCCATTCTCAGTTGTGTGTCTGAGTAAGGCTGGGCTTATCTGCAGCTCCTGCAGTGGGCTTAAGCTCACCAGCATATCTCCCCACCCCATGTAATAGGTTCAGGAATGAACCTATGATCAAATTTAACCAAATGAGAAACACTGACCCCCAGGGCTCTGTGCAGGGGCTTTTGGAGGACGTGTCTCTCCCTTGAACACTGTGTTACGGGAATGTGATATGTGGAACGGTTATTGCCTAAGAGGAAATCCCAGAGCTGCCAAATGTCCACTGTATATAGCCTGAGGAGGCTGCCAGCAATGAGAAAGGCAGGACAGAGACCCAGAGAGAAACTGTATTCTTATTGACATATTTTAAGCCACCGTATCAAGCTTTACCTGAAGTTGTACTATACATTTTAACTTCTCAGTCACATGAACCAATGGATTCCAATTGTTGATTTTGCAGGTAAGGCTTAGCTCTTCAATGACTTGCAACCAAAAGAATCTTAACTGATAACAGTCCAAGACATTTAATATATCAAAAGTATGAACTATTTTTTCTTTTCTTTTCTTTTCTTTTTGAGATAGAGTTTCACTCGTATTGCCCAAGTTGGAGTGCAATGGTACAATTTCAGCTCACCACAACCTCCACCTCCTGGGTTCAAGTGATTCTCTTGCCTCAGCCTCCCAAGTAGCTGGGATTACAGGCACATGCCACCATGCCCAGCTAACTTTTTGTATTTTTACTAGAAACGGGGTTTCACCACGGTAACCAGGCTGGTCTCAAACTCCTGACCTCAGGTGATCCTCCCTCCTCGGCCTCCCAAAGTGCTCCCAAAGTGGCATGAGCCACTGTGCCCGGCCAAACTGTGTTTTCTTTACACAATTTTGAAGATTTTATTCTCATGGAGAATGCTGAGGGAAAGGAAAATCATGAAGAATGTTTCTTAGACTTATAAGAACCTTAATATCTTCTAAGATTAAATCTCAGAACTTCATAGTTGGAGGTAGTTTGGGGATCATCTAGTTCTACTAGTTTCTTTTACACAGGGAGTCAATAAATATGTATATGATGAATGAATGAATGAATGAATGAATGTGTGAAGACTGAATGAATGAATGGGTGAATGAGGTAGCTTAACTCTAGACAGACCTGAATTATACTGTTCCATGAAATGACTGTATATTTTAGTCAGTTTCAGCTGGTAGTTGGTAACTAAAAGACAGATGAGGCTTCTGTGTGTATGTTTTTTTTTCTTTTTTTTAATCTGGATATACAAGTAAATGGGAGAACCTGGGAAACCCAATTCCAAATCTAATCTCCTTTCTTGTCCACTAGGGAACATCTCACATCTTCTCACAAAAACAAAGAACACCACAAAGTCCTTTGAGATGACAAGTTCAGATAGTCCTAGAATTTTAAAACTGGGATATGTTATTGAAGTTCATTTCCAAACCAGTTGCTTTCAACCTGAAATGCATTTTCTCATGTACAATGTTAGATTCACAGGCTAGCCAACAAAACAGAACAAAATGCAAACTAGCAAACACATTTTCAACACAAAATATCTACTAGAACCCAACTAAGTGTTAAGTTCTTGGAACATGAGGTCATGAGATGTGTAAGTACAAGAGAAAAAAAAATCAATAAAATGCTCTCCTATTCCTCTTTTTCACTTCCATTTACTAGCTATAAAATTACTTCAAAGGGAAATTTGAAAAATTTAAAAAATCTGTTATTGACCCTGTACTACCGCCCTTTGTGCATTCTTCTCCCATTCTTAGTGTCCTTTTTGTTCCAGGTGCTTGGATGCCCCCCATCTTAAATAATGACAGCTATCATTTTATTGAGCACTTACTGTGAGTCAGGCACTGAGCTAATACTCAAAGAGATGAAGTAATTTGTCTACAGTCATGTGGCAAAGCCAACATGGAGCCCAGCTGCGCTAGTCTCTAAAGCCCATGTTCTTAAACTACCCAGGTCTACTACACTGGTTGTCCTCCATCCTGAGCCAAGTCCTTCCTACTGTGAGAATCCACCTCCTCCCTTCCTATTACAGCCTAAAGGACTTCATGCTAAAGATTGCCAGCATCCCGTCCCCTTCAAACAAAACAGTCATCCCCTTATTGTAGCCAATGTGCCTTAGAAAACAAAAGAGGAGAGCAATCTGCTCATGATAACCTCATGTTTCCAGAGGTTGTACACACTATTTCAAAGGGGGTACCTATTATTATAAGTTCACCTCCAACTAGTAGCATTTCAGGTAGCTGATAAAAGTGGGAAGTGAAACAACATGTAGGCAGCAAAAGAGTATATATTTTGGGACAGGATAGGAGGCCAGAGCCAGGCACGGGGCTCACACCTGTAATCCTAGCACTTTGGGAGCCCAAGGTGGGTGGATCACGAGGTCAGGAGTTCCAGAGCAGCCTGGCCAACATGGTGAAACCCCGTCTCTACTAAAAATACAAAAATTAGCTGGGCGTGGTGATGCATGCCTGTAATCCTAGCTACTCAGGAAGCTGAGGCAAGAGAACTGCTTGAACCCAGGAGATGGAGGCTGCAGTGAGCCAAGATCGCACCACGTGCTCCAGCTTAGGTGACAGAGAGAGACTCTGTCTCAAGAAAAAAAAAAAAGAGAGAAAAAGAATAGGAGGCCAGAGATTCTAAGAGTTTGCCTCCAAAGTCAGTACCCCAGTATAGAATATGTTTTCACAATTTCTTTTCTTTTCCTACATTTTAATCTATAGCTTAAAAGGGGAAAAGAAAGCAACAATAAATAATTGGCATTTAATAAATCCTTGCTGCCTTTATTTGTCATGTGACGAAACCAAAGCCTAGGGCAATAAATATGAAGTCATATAACAAATGGCAGTGCAGGGAAGGGAAACCTCCGAACTGCTAACTCCCAGGCCAGTACAATTTATTTTTGATACCTATAACCCAAATCACCAATTGATCTTTCTTTTCTGCTTAAGCTCCGCCTGAATGAAGACAAAACTTATTAAATATGGATATAAACCCACAGGAATTTGACCAGGCAAAAATTTCCTTTTTTAAATAGAACCAACTCCCATCTGAAAATGGCTTCTAGAAAGAATTATTTCATAAAATAATTTAATCCATGTGTTTCACAGTAACAGAAAAGAGTCCACCCTTTTTAAAGAGATTATCTGTTATAATACCACCTCCCTTTCCTCCCAAAATTCAGCAGCTGCATATCAGTTTAATTGTACTACCTAGCAGTTCAAAGAAATTGGCTTTTCAATGGACATTAGAATCTAAAACTCCTAGATTTAATGGGTCTGTCCTCTGAGGCCCACAAAAGTGCAATCATAGAACAATAGGGTCAATACATTTCTTATCAAGGGTTCACCTACTTTGATATCAACCATTCTTGGAAGGGAACTCAGAAGGTCAAACTGTTATCAAACAAACATATAAATAGATAAACTAAATGAAGTTAATGAAGAGACCAGAATCAAATACTCCTGGGAAAGACTATTAGCTGGCCTTCTTCAGAAATAAATGTGCAGGGAAAAATTGAGAAAGGACAAAGGAGAAAGTCATGCACTTCTAAGAATAGAGCAAATAAAGATATTAGTTTAAGGAGATGGTCCTCCAGGTAAATAGAACAGCTAAGTTCTTACCAGCAACATGAACATGTGAAATACACTTATTTGATGGAAAACTTATGGGCACAAAGCAATTATTGACCAAATAGCAGAAACCAGTCTACAAAAATCATAATTAAAAATAAAAGTATAACTCTGTTAATTAGACATAGAAATTTATAATATCCATGTCTTACAACTGTCCAGTGTTTATTCATGTACCTAAATTAAAATAAAATAATTTCAATTCAGGCAAACCACCCTGAAAGATATTTTTCTTAAGATGTTTATATCTAAACCCATGTTCAGATCAGCGAAAACATTTAGAAAGGAAAATATTCTATTTAATTTTTAAAAAACATTTTATTGGGGATTGTTAAATATAAATAATCCATTTTAAATAATATAAACATGTAGTAGAAGTACATAAAACATACTTTCATTTTCTAAAACATAGAGAACAGTAACTTCTTCACCTCCAAAAGAATAGACCATTTATTACCATTTAAAAAAATCATTTGGCATTCCTATTGCCCTTCGCACAACTAAATGAATCAGTGACGTGTATATATATGTATATGTATATATATACACACACACACATATATACACACACACATACACACACACACACACACACATATATATATTTTTGGAGGCAGAGTTTTGCTCTTGTTGCCCAGGCTGGAGTGCAATGGTGCAATCTTGGCTCACTGCAACCTCTGCCTCCTGGGTTCAAGTGATTCTCCTGCTTCAGCCTTCCAAGTAGCTGGGATTACAGGCACCCACCACCACGTCCAGCTAATTTTTTCTCCATGTTGGTCAGGCTGGTCTTGAACTCCTGACCTCAGGTGATCCGCCAACCTTGGCCTCCCAAAGCGCTGGAATTATAGGCGTGAGCCACCGCAACAACCCTGATGTATATATTTGAACCTGCTTTTTATTCATTTGTTCAATAAATGAATAAATATTCACAGTTGGGATTACTGGCCTACATCTTCCACAATTATAACATTATTTTAGCTAGTGAACAATAAAACTAATTTGATTTTGGTTAACTTCTTTTCAATACAGATGGTTTAAAAATAAAACAAAACCTGTGTTTTTCTATTGTGATCTTAAAAATATCTTTCTAACATGCTTTTTAAAAATATATATAAGTATGCTGCCACTGCCTTGTAGTAAACTTTAGAAAATGTTGAGATTCCAAAGGGCTGCCTACAAACCAAATGGCATCCTAGCTTTGGCAGGCTGATGCTTCATTTCGGCTGCTCTCGCCCCCTCTAGCGTTTGCAAAGCTCATCTGTCTGATTATCCAGTTACCTCACTGAACAAGAGCTTGGCTAAGTCCTGCCCATCTATGACATCACCCCCTTCTTCAACCACTGCGAGGTGAAGCTTTAAACTTCAGACTTGGAGGTGGGCTGTGTGCAGTAAACTGGAATGCTCTCCCTCGCTCACTCCTCAGTGTAGGAGTGATCTGAAGCAGGACAAGCTCAGCCTGCAGCTGCCGTGGGCTTTGTGTGGACTGGACGCAGAGCTTGGGAGACGGGGGAGGGCTATTACTCCAATTCACAGTCAATGGAATTACAGCTATAGCGGCAGTGTATATAGGATTGCTTTTTCTCGTCTTCCTGGTAAGTGTTTTCCATGTTTTTTCTTATGATTGTCCCAGAAAGTTTGCTTGGTTTTACTCTCTAGAAAGAAATGACTGGATACTATGAGAAATCCAAATAGGAACGTTTGCTCTGTCACCAGAAAAAGCAATATATGTGTGTGCAAGCCAGCAAAGAAAAATTTCACTATATGGCCAAATGCAAGAAGTTTCTTAGAACCTTCTTTCATTTATAAAAGATAGTAAGTGGCTATTTTCTCTGTCTCGAGTAATTGCTATTTGAAAAGAGCCTTATGGAAAACAGCAAGTTGGAAAGTTCAGTGTTAAATATCAAACAATACAAGGAGATTCTTCACAGATAGAAAAGCAAAAGGTCCTGCTAACTTGGTATGTACTGTATGTGTGGTATGATCACCAATTGCTGTTTTTACAACTGTGAAAGAAAATCAATAATCCCTCAGCCCATGAGTACGCAGTACATGAAAAGCATACATCTTGCTCACAGCTAGCCGAGCTGCTCCTAGAGACTTATGTGCCTCTGTAAAGGATTAACAGCTACACCTAGATTTTAAAGCTTGCACTGCTATCGTGCCTGAGCTGCTTCAAGCATTTCAGGCTTGCAAATCTCAACTAGTAAATTGAACTCAGAGGAGGGGGAGACTCTCTTCCAAACTATATTCCCTCTTCAATAGAACGCCAAAATCCATTGCTTAGGCAAGTGTGGTATGTGACTAGCATAGTAAATGGCTAAGTCTACTCAGAAAAACTAACAAAGCTCACCCTGGAAGCTATGCCTAATGTATGCAGTGAGTTTGGGGTGGCAGGAAAGAAAAATAAATGAGTAGAGCCCTCATCAAGTGGGTTTTGCAGAGGATCCATTCTTTGCAACTTACAATAGGAAAATCTTATATTGGAAGAAATGCATTTATACTACAAAGCTTGAAAAAGTAGTTAAATGTATCTTCTCAAAAAAATTTGTTCACTGAATTAGGTCTGAAACAAAATGGTTGCATATAGGTAAAGAGTGCAACAGGCCCATCCATGTCTTCTCAACGTCTGGGGGGTTCTTTTTTGTTATTTTATTTCGAATTTAAAGAAAAAAAAAAAAACTTGATTTTTTTTTTCAATTGTTAGTCCAAATTCTCTAATGGTTTTAATAATAAGGCTATTTTAAATATTCTTAATAAATATCTCCTTTAAAATGCTCATCTATGTTATTTTATTATCCAGAAACAACATAAATAAAGCCACTAGAAAAGTCCTTCAGCTGTAGCAATGCCTTTCATTTATCTCTAACTGCATAAAAATATCCTGACCAGCCTAAACATAAAGAATAAATTTGCCTATATTCAGGGAGAATCACTTATACTTGACCCAAAGTGACAGAGGACTAATATTCATCTCCTCTGAAATGAGTGAAGAAAAATGAATCCTTTAAAAGTACCACAATAATATCAACATTACCAACTACCACAAATATTAATGATAATATGCCAGGTTTTCACCATGGGAAAATTAAATCAGAGATATGCCCCTTAGTTTGGACACATATATACACACACAGACAAATGTACATCTATTTATTACCCTGAAATAAAAACAGGGTTACAAAAATGCATAGATTTAACTAAGAAAACTAAAATTTGATTTTTTGAAGACCACAGCCAAAACACATCAAGTCCAAGGATCAGCGAAATATTAGTGAATGAATAAACATAATGAATTCATTAATATCGTGGTTCTGTATAACTCTCTACCAGTTATTAATTGGGTTTTTCATTTCACTGCACCCCACCCTTTAAAATCAATTATGACTGGGTTCAAAATGCACAATTAAACACTTCCCAAACATAACGTTTGTGAAATGTATAATTGGATAGCAAATAAAGTTTTGACAAAAAGAAGAAAAACAGTAAGAAAATTTGTCATAACTAAAGGTGGCAGCAAAATAGAAGGTATGTTTCTTTTGCTTTTAAGTGTTAATTAAAGAGACTACAATTCTATCAAAACTTTTTCAGAGCTAAATGAAGCAGTGTGAAATAAATTTGGTTGAAATCTTGTGGCTGTCAGACTTTGTTAGCAAGCTATTAATTATCTTTACCCCAGTTTCTTCTCTAGACTGTATTGCCCAATCAAATAGAAACTCCAATTATGCTCAGCATCTCCTGCCTAGGGACACAAGACCCTAATGAACACTCAGTCTCTCTCGACGAAAAATACAATAATCAGCTTTAAATATGCAAGTGCACTGCAGAGAGATTTTTCTGTGCTTTTCTTGGCCACACACCCTAAGGCTTCCTCCTCTTTCTGGATTATTTTGAACAATTTTAAGCCCTACAAAAATCTGTGCAGGGAATTTGCCTTGTCTTAATAATATATTAATGTTTCTTCTTTCTTGCTTTTCATTTTTGATATGCCAATGTTCATACCAATATTAAATCTGGTCACTAAAAAACATATTTGGTTTATAGTTGCCATTTCAGTCATTTCTTAACTTTTATGCCTCTTTTTAAGGTGGGTGGGCTATAAAACAAAGAATGTGATTGATTACTGGCAAAATTCAGAGCTAACTTAAATATTCTGAATAGATTCCATTATATATTCTTTTATTCAAACCCATTTATTTAAAAAAAAAAAAGCATTAGAAATAACTGTTTAAAGTCAAATGAAGACTACCATAAATAAAGTCAACAATGGAAATAAGATTCAGTAAATTTTTCAAAGGCCATAATTTCTCCCCTCCTTCTTTCCTCCTTCCCCCTACCCTCCCACCCCCCACCTTTTGCCCCAGAGGCCTTCACTGTTCTTCTCAACGGGAGGCTTTGTTGTAATTAAACCGGAGAAAAACTGGCCAGCAGCAGCCAACATCTGACTTGCGGCTTCTGAAAGCAGTGTTCTGGTAGAGTGTACCACCCCCCAGCGGGCAAAAACTCTACAGTAAAAATCTCTCAGCAATATTAATCCTCAAAACTGCATTTTCTCTTCAGAGCATAAAAACGGATGTTTCTCAGCTCCTTCTAACATTCCACCATTTCAAAAATTTACTGAAAGTCAACAAATAAATTTCCAACAAAGAGTTGGTCTTCTGAAACAGCATTCTTCCTCTTAAGAAAATAGGTATACACATTTCAGAAAGTATTTTCCAGTTTCAAAATACAGCTCGACATCACTAAATTTGGTTAAACATCACATTAAAGGACAGTTTTCAAAGCTATGTTTATGTTGTGTAAGAAAGAACTTTGAGTTATCTATTTACGAAAATCCCAGAGAAAACAGATTTTAAGTAGAAAGCAATAGAGTATAATTTAAGCAAAAGCTAAAATTTCATTTGTTTTGCATATGCAGAATCTCTTTCCTACCCTAAAATCAAGTGTCAGGGATGTATAAAAAGCTTTCTGCAGGTATTAGTCTGTTTAAATGAAAGGAGGGAGAAATTGCTCTCATTTGATGGGACAATGACAGCTTTTGTTCTTTATTCTTTCACTTTACATGTGCACAAGTTACCGTGGCAACTTTGAAGAGAAAACCCACAGACCACATTTGGTTAAAAACCATTTTTAAAGTGTGCCACTGGACTGTGGATTGATCAGTTTATGTGTTGTTGATTTTCCTCCTCTTCATCTGGTTTAAGTAATACCCTACTTGTACATGAAAAACAATGTATTTTATGACTTCAGGTGGTCTCACCGACCAGTATAGTGCTTGCCACACAGTAGACTAAAATAAATCTATTTGCTGAACTACTGTATGGAAACTTAAATATTAGAAATTTAAAGCACGTCAACCAAGTTGTACTCACACAGTTAAAAAGGAATTTAAAGTCTGCAATGGTAAATGTGGTTTAACAAAAGTAGGCGCACTTTTAATTCCTTTTGCTCAAAAGTCAGCACAAATGTAAAGCATGCCCCCACCCCAAACTCTATACCACTTACCTTCACCACTCTCTAAATTAATATCTTACTCGTTCTTACAAGTCTTGTTCTCTAATTCATTTACTTTGGGTTTAATATCATAAAAGGAAGCAGCATTCACTATGCTGAAGGATAATATCCCAGTTTGCCTTTTTGTTTTAAGGATGCTTGATTTAACTTTACAAGCCAAAACAAATGAAGCAGAATTCAATTCATTTGTCACAAATGTACCGGGGAAAAGAACCAGTAACAGAAAAAGAAAAAGTAGAAATACTTAGCATTGGAAATGTTATCCCCTATTTTCCATAAATGAAACAAGGACCTTGTTCAGGCTAGAAAATAGTCTGGATAAAACCAAGTATGAAAAGGCACACTTGCTTCTCTGCCTCTCAGCAAACCCTTCAGACTTCATGACTCTCAAGAGAGAGTTAGAGGTCCTTCTGCTTGCCTGGCATTAAACAAAAGAATTGGAACTTTCCTGAAATCTGATGATCGTGGAAAATTTAACTACCAGACAGGCTGCTTAGAAAGCATTTTGCTGTCACTATCAACTAACCTGATGTACTCCAGTTTTTCAGTTTAACCATATATATAGTTTATTTGAAATACCATTTGTTGTTGCAAAGACTTAGCATTCACAGGTTGAGCTTTTTTAGCAGCAATTTAAGCCTTCATAAATAAATTACCTTCCTAATACTCTAAATTATGATTGTATAAATTCCAGTTTACCTAGAAATATTCACAAAGTTGGATACGTTTGTTTAGGCATGAGTTTTTTTTAGTCTCAAGGTTTTGCTTAAAACAAGGCAACTAACTTGGATGAAAAGTTCTACATGCCATTATATTTTAGACTGAATATTTTTAAAAGTCCTCAGCATTAAGAAATCATTCTGTGGGAGAAATCATTAAAAAAGAAACTAAAATCTCAAAACCTTATACTTGAATTAATATTTTTCAAAAGTGAGTAATGACCAAATAGGTCAAATCAAAATCAATTTAAATCTAAGGCACAAATAAGAAATTAGCACTACTATTATATAGCTTCATCTTAATCTAAGTAATATTCTTAAAACATAAGAAATACCTTCTCATAACACTTCCAGCTCCAAAATATTATAGTAGCAGGGAAGAAATCATATAAACATGTAGATTGCCGCAAGTTCTTGATTTTATTTAAATATCAGTTTTCTATTCAGATACAACTTCTTATATTAGTTTTCCTAAAATAGTATCCTTATCTATTTACATGTTTTATTGGATGTACCATGGAAATAAATTGGAAGCTTTTCAGACTTGATGATTACATTATAAATGCAAAAAAAAAAATCTACAATTTTTATTTGTAAAAAGAAACTGAATATGAATATAAGGATCCCTATGAAAAATTTGATTCATCAGTGAGGTGATTATGTTTTTCTTCTTTTTACTACAGTTTTAAGTGTTTTATAGTTAAATAATACCTCCATTAAAAAAAATTTTTTTAACATTCCATTAAGTTACCAGGGCTCCATTTACGTTTTTCCCCCAAGTTACCCCATTAACAGTATTTTTCTAAAAGATCGATTCATTTTGTTCAGAAGTAATGGCCTCTTTCAAGCCTAGGCAGACAGAAAGGCTCTGAAGTCAGTGTTGTGGAAACCTGGCCACAGTGTCCATGCCAGTGGGGGTCATTTTTCTTTTCATCATCGACATTTGACTACAGTATTTCTAGGTGCGCAAATATGTAGATCCAGCTCAGAAAGGGGAAAGTCAAAGCATAGGAGAAGATCGTTCATTTTTGATGAAGAGATCCTTGCAGCCTTTAATATGCCAAAACCAAAACCCAAAAATCTGTTTAGCACTATAGTTTCAAACATAAATGGGAAAGAGAAGACATAAAATGTAGTCAAATATGAATGGTTTTGAGCCTCAGTAAAGGGAGTAGGGGCATATGAGAGTAGCTCTGAATGTAACCTTCATTTCTGAAAGAGTATCCTTCTCTCCTAAGAAACCTGTTTTATGTTTTTCCTTTTATTTAAATACAATGTGGGGAGAAAAGAATGACATTTTCCAAGAACTTAATGAGATTTAAGGCTTTCTGTTAATCCCACATTATTACCACTATTGTATGAATGGCAAATGTGAGTTTGCATATCAAACAGAATAGAGGAAGCAGCTTCACAAATGTAAAACAGGTAAAATAAACAAATTAATCTTCCATCTTTTCACACCAATTTAGAACTCTTTCATTCTCTGGGTTAAAAATGTGAAAATCAACACATATTGTTAGAGCCTAATTTGGTGAAATATACATAGTTCAGATACAAGATAAAAGACATTTATTTTATGTCTGGTTATCAGTATGACCATCACCTTGGACACACTGTGGTCTGACCTGACTCAGGGAATGATCAGTTTTTAAATCCCCAAAATCAGCAGATTCATCATCTCAAGTATATATTGCCTCACCATCATCCCTGGAATATCAGAAATGCTTGACTCTTGGTAACACTTTAAGCAGGTTCTCTCTTGTTATTTTTATAATGGTTTTTAATTAGTTTCTAATGCAATTTAACGTAAGTAGTTGTTTTCTAAACTTAACCACATTATTTTATATGTTGAATAATTTTCAAGTTTAAAAAACTTTTACAGAAGATACTTTAAAAAGTAACCTTGTAATTATAATTTCAACAGCTTGGTTTTCCATTTTCACACACTGAGAAAGCAACAGTTTTCAAGAAAAGATACTATTGGAATTTGACAATAACAGGCAAAGCCCTAAAGGCATCACAGTAAAACCTCACATTAAACAATAAATCATTTAAACTTTCCTCTGTGGGCACTTTGCAATATTCACCAGAGACTGTTTGATCCATCTGCTAACTGCTATTTTTGTTTCAAGTTGCCTAAATAATGAATTATATGTATCTGTAATTTTTTTTCACTTCTCTTCTGTTAATATAGCCTATGACCATGTCGGTATGCAGTTAGCAAACTAAAATAAACTGAATTTTTGGAGAGAACCAGAAACACAAATTGTGGCCTTATTTAACATACTCGTTCAGCAGAGCATTTGAATTATGGAACAGATGCTATCCTTGCTGGATGTTAGGTAGTAACTGTGGGAGAAGCAAATTGCTACTACTTTAGTCCTTACTTTCAGGGTCACATATTTCCAGGATACTCAAATGTTCCCTACATATATACAAAGTATCAGAGTGGATGATCCTGCATAACCAATTGGAATATTACTCACCTCCTCCAAACTCTTAAAAAATCTTCATGCACATTTGATAATAGGCAAAGCAGTCAACATTAAATTCAAAGATCTCTTTAGTCAAGCCAAAAGTCTTCTTTCAGAAATGATACACTTATTAAAAATTGGCATATTCATGTATGAACCTAGAGAGAAATGCCCCATCTGGTGTGCTTTCCTAATGGTCACTACAAGGAGATCGAAATAATAGTGTCCTTTCTATTTCAAATACAAAATTTTTTTTCAAACTCAGTATGCTAAAAGAAAATTAGAACAGTATTCTCCAGAAAAACTAAACATGACTTGAACTTCTATGTCACCTTTTGGGCAAGAACACCTGAGTGCTTAGAGTTTCAAGACCAATAAGTAGTCCTTAGATGTACCCCTAAAGAGAAAGGGGATGGTGTCGACATTCTGCAGTTGGGAAAATTGAGACCTGCAGGAAGAATCAAACAGGGAACTGAGCAAATCAACAGAAAAGCTTTTAACATAGCCTTTTCAACTCTAAATTGTGGATTGTATGACTTTGTTAAATCATGTTCAGAAATGCCTAAAAAGTTACCTTGGCATTTCTGTCAAAAATACTTGTTAATGTATTTGCTCACCTCTTTGACATGTACTTGTTTTCTTCTTTTTAAACATTTTATCATTTTATGCATATGATTTCAAAGTAAATTTTTAAAGACTGGCTTGAATTTGAAAGCCATGGTGTTTAATTCAAAGTGACACAATCATATAATAGAAATTATCTGTTTGATGACAATCTCTACTTTGGCTCCTACTTTATTTATATAAGAAAATGAGAAGTCTAAAAACAAAGAGGTCAACCTATCCCTTTTGACTAACCACTATGATGAAAGATGTGTTGTTTTAAGACATTGAAATTAAATGTCTAGGAAATTTCTCTAGTATGTTAAAGTTCATTATTAATAGTTCATTAAAACCTTTTACTTTCACAGGAGATGCTCAGTCCCAATATATTTTAAGGAAGATAAATATAAAGGAAATTTAGTATGCCTCGTTTTCTTTCCATGAAGAATTTAGTTTCCTTTACTTCTTAAAAGAGAATACCTGTTCTTGTATAACGTGACTGCACCAGACATTCTGAAAAATCAGCAAGAAGCAAAAGCTGGAAATAGCTATTTCACAGCAGGTAATCATACCTCAGGATGTAGCTACTGTACAAAGTTTATACTTGGATAATCCTGGATGGGAATAAAGGTAGGGGGTAACTGCCTGAAAAACCTATTACTATACAGGCCTTAGCATCATGAATGGCTTTCTTCATGAGGATCTGAAGTTACTATCTCTGACCACATTGCACAGAAGAGCCAATAAGAATTTCAAAGAGGGCAATTTCCACTAAGGGAATTAAGCTACACAAAAGGAACCTTCACACAGAAACTCTATCAGAAAGAAAAAAAAAATACATAGGAAGCCATGTGTCCTACATAGTAACAGGAAGCAGAATTGTTTCTGCCCCCACTTTAATGAGCTTGCCCACCATGCTGAACTGCAGCTGGAATGTTCATTGACAACAGCAAGCCTGATCTGGAGGTGTGTGCGGCATAGGATTACTTGAATAAACGGTGAAGAACATTTCCAAGGACTAAACAAAAGTTTATAAGTCCCAGCCCCTCACCAGGAAAATAATATATGTGCATTGGATATTCACTCCCGCAAAATTTACTCACATCGTTCAATAAGGTAGGAAAAACAAAGTATTTTATTTTCATGCCTAAAATTACAAAGGCTAATTAATACTTAAAAGGACACAAGATATTATATTACACAATACATCAGTATAAATCTGTACTTTGCCAGCCATAGAAAAAGTTGATTTATATTCTAGGTTAGAATTTAAAGAAATATAAATGCACTGTGAAAACACATTATGAGATAGAAAATAATGAAAAATGTGGACAAAGTCATTAAAACTTGCAGTATGAAACATATAACAAAATGCAAACAGAAGAAAGACAGAGTTCAACATGAAGTGAAATTTTCCACTTAGGTTAGCTGGATGTATTAGCTTTGTAATTCTTTCCCAAAAATAAATGAAGGATTCGTTCTTATTTTCTTATAGAAATCCACCCATTTAAAATAATACTTAAAATTAATAACCAAAGAAAATGAAATGACATTAATAATCAAAGCAAACTATGGGTTTAATTGAGTTCAGCATCTCAAGATGTGGGTAACTATGAAGTATGAAGTATGAAGAGAATAGATATTTTTATGACATTTTTCTATACCTGTATAGTCTTTGCCTAATAAAAAGTAAATATAAAAATTTGTGGTTTTTAGATAACAGTAAAATGGTTACCTTTAAATATACCAAACAATATTCCAAGGTGTTAATTATTATGAATATTAAGAAAGAAATGGATATTCAATTAGCTTGATCAATGACTGTCTATAAGGTTAATATAAAGTATAATTAAAATACTTTAGATTATTCAATAAAACTTCAATTATATTTAACATTTCAAAATCAAATGGATTTGGGACATGTTACTTTTTAATGTATAAAGAAATTAAGAAACCATTAAGGTAAAGAGATTATATGACACTGTCTATTGTTAGCTAGCAATAAGCCCGACTATGCCCTCTCCCAAAACAAATTAAAATATTAAAAGTGATTATAGATATTTTAGTTTCCACATTCATTTTAAACATTATATTCAGTATGCTGTCCTTATTGTTTTCTGTCTTTTTTTACTCACTTCATTTTAGGGTTCTGAAGTAACGGAAGCTACCTTGTATAAAGACCTCAACACTGCTGACCATGATCAGCCCAGCCTGGAGCATCTTCCTCATCGGGACTAAAATTGGGCTGTTCCTTCAAGTAGCACCTCTATCAGTTATGGCTAAATCCTGTCCATCTGTGTGTCGCTGCGATGCGGGTTTCATTTACTGTAATGATCGCTTTCTGACATCCATTCCAACAGGAATACCAGAGGATGCTACAACTCTCTACCTTCAGAACAACCAAATAAATAATGCTGGGATTCCTTCAGATTTGAAAAACTTGCTGAAAGTAGAAAGAATATACCTATACCACAACAGTTTAGATGAATTTCCTACCAACCTCCCAAAGTATGTAAAAGAGTTACATTTGCAAGAAAATAACATAAGGACTATCACTTATGATTCACTTTCAAAAATTCCTTATCTGGAAGAATTACATTTAGATGACAACTCTGTCTCTGCAGTTAGCATAGAAGAGGGAGCATTCCGAGACAGCAACTATCTCCGATTGCTTTTCCTGTCCCGCAACCACCTTAGCACAATTCCCTGGGGTTTGCCCAGGACTATAGAAGAACTACGCTTGGATGATAATCGCATATCCACAATTTCATCACCATCTCTTCAAGGTCTCACTAGTCTAAAACGCCTGGTTCTAGATGGAAACCTGTTGAACAACCACGGTTTAGGTGACAAAGTTTTCTTCAACCTAGTTAATTTAACAGAGCTGTCCCTGGTGCGGAATTCCCTGACTGCTGCACCAGTAAACCTTCCAGGCACAAACCTGAGGAAGCTTTATCTTCAAGATAACCACATCAATCGGGTGCCCCCAAATGCTTTTTCTTATCTAAGGCAGCTCTATCGACTGGATATGTCCAATAATAACCTAAGTAATTTACCTCAGGGTATCTTTGATGATTTGGACAATATAACACAACTGATTCTTCGCAACAATCCCTGGTATTGCGGGTGCAAGATGAAATGGGTACGTGACTGGTTACAATCATTACCTGTGAAGGTCAATGTGCGTGGGCTTATGTGCCAAGCCCCAGAAAAAGTTCGTGGGATGGCTATTAAGGATCTCAATGCAGAACTGTTTGATTGTAAGGACAGTGGGATTGTAAGCACCATTCAGATAACCACTGCAATACCCAACACAGTGTATCCTGCCCAAGGACAGTGGCCAGCTCCAGTGACCAAACAGCCAGATATTAAGAACCCCAAGCTCACCAAGGATCACCAAACCACAGGGAGTCCCTCAAGAAAAACAATTACAATTACTGTGAAATCTGTCACCTCTGATACAATTCATATCTCTTGGAAACTTGCTCTACCTATGACTGCTTTGAGACTCAGCTGGCTTAAACTGGGCCATAGCCCAGCATTTGGATCTATAACAGAAACAATTGTAACAGGGGAACGCAGTGAGTACTTGGTCACAGCCCTGGAGCCTGATTCACCCTATAAAGTATGCATGGTTCCCATGGAAACCAGTAACCTCTACCTATTTGATGAAACTCCTGTTTGTATTGAGACTGAAACTGCACCCCTTCGAATGTACAACCCTACAACCACCCTCAATCGAGAGCAAGAGAAAGAACCTTACAAAAACCCCAATTTACCTTTGGCTGCCATCATTGGTGGAGCTGTGGCCCTGGTTACCATTGCCCTTCTTGCTTTAGTGTGTTGGTATGTTCATAGGAATGGATCGCTTTTCTCAAGGAACTGTGCGTATAGCAAAGGGAGGAGAAGAAAGGATGACTATGCAGAAGCTGGCACTAAGAAGGACAACTCTATCCTGGAAATCAGGGAAACTTCTTTTCAGATGTTACCAATAAGCAATGAACCCATCTCGAAGGAGGAGTTTGTAATACACACCATATTTCCTCCTAATGGAATGAATCTGTACAAAAACAATCACAGTGAAAGCAGTAGTAACCGAAGCTACAGAGACAGTGGTATTCCAGACTCAGATCACTCACACTCATGATGCTGAAGGACTTGCAGCAGACTTGTGTTTTGGGTTTTTTAAACCTAAGGGAGGTGATGGTAGGAACCCTGTTCTACTGCAAAACACTGGAAAAAGAGACTGAAAAAAGCAATGTACTGTACATTTGCCATATAATTTATATTTAAGAACTTTTTATTAAAAGTTTCAAATTTCAGGTTACTGCTGCGATTGATGTAGTGGAGATGCCTGAACACAATTCTATATTTTAGTATTTTTTAGTAATTTGTACTGTATTTTCCTTGCAAATATTGGAGTTATAAACCATTTACTTTGTGTTCTACTGAGTAAGATGACTTGTTGACTGTGAAAGTGAATTTTCTTGCTGTGTTGAACAATCAGGACTGCATTCACATGAGATCCTTGTAGTATAAGCACAGGCCATTTTTCACTTTGGTATTAATAAAATGTAAAAAAAAAACTGGCTGAATGGCTGAATGAGAAAATTTAATTTTAGAAAATGGTTATGAAATAATGTTCCAATTATTAAATTTGTATTATCCCAGTGGTATTCAATAAATCAAAGTGTGTGAAGTAATGGGCAATATCAAACCTGCTGCATATCTCCATTTTTGCTCTAGGCAAATTAATTATCCTTAAAAAAGTTAAGCATATCTTCTGAACTGAATACATCAGCTGGCATAAAAGGAGTGTGAAGTCTGTTAAAGCCATTGTCAGCAAAGCTTTGAAAATAAAGGACTTCACAAAAACAGTAATGTAAATGTGCTTCCAAGTTGCGGGGGAAATGTGTACTTAGGAAAACATGAAAACTTAGATTTGTATAGTGTAATGAACACAAATACCAAAACTGCATTTTGGTTTTGCCTATGCCATCCTGATTTTTGAAAAGTGACTTATAAACACAAAATTGTTAGTGTTTATGATGTTTTTATCATAAAGGATGTCAGAGAAATTTTATGCATATTAAAAATGTAGTGTAATTATAAGCGATTCCCCTCAACAACCCAGAGAAAGTAGTTCTTTAAATGAGAGAATTTAAAGAAAAATAAATACTAGACATCAAATTTAGATCTGGTTTATGTCAAAGGTTTTAACACTGTACATAAATGTTCAATTTACTTTTACAAAGATCAAGAATACTGCCCATTACTGTCACAATTTTCCAGATATTACATAATGAACTTGTAATGTAACATTTCCTTCTAGCTTCCTACTGAATTGTGAGCTATTACTTGTTGAAAAACCATATCACTTTTCTGTTGCCATGATTTTTTTTTTTCAACAAAAAACCAAAGTGCATTGTACGCCCTTTGGCCAGTCTTGTATGTGCCTTGATCCAACGCTACATGTATTCAGCTTTTAAAACTCGACAAATTTTTCATACTCCTTAAATATGAAAAATTATGGTCTTATTGCTGAATAAAACTTTTAAAAAGTACAGAATAATTGTGCTTGCTTTTTCAGGATTGTGTTACTATCACTAAGTAGCAAATTGCCCAGCACATTAGTCCTAAACGTCCCATGTATTTTTCTAGGCATAAAAATAAAAGTTGGCTAAAAATTTTAAAAAATCAACATCTTGAGGTTGTGTATCATTTTACTTTAAAGAGTTCAGTATTTCATGTATAAATTTATTTCCTCCTACTTCTTCATTGTGTAGATGGAAAATTTAAGAAATGGTTTCACGGCCTTTCTCTCTTAGGCACACTGCTGCCACTGTCCTGATACTTTTTAAGGTGGTCTTTGAAAAATTGTTTTTTTAAAATAGCCTTTTAGTAGAGTGAGTTAGCATTTGTGATACTGTGAAATATACACTTTCTCTTTGTCCCTGTTTCTGGCATACAACTCCTAAAATCTTTGCAATCTTCAAAGTGATATATTTTCATTTTTCATATGCTAATTAGTTCACTGATGGCTGGCAGGCCCTAAGTAGCTTCAAGATAAAGTCTGGTCATTGAAAAGACCAAGACATGATTATAGGGTTGGGACTTACAACCCCAAACCCCAACTTCCAGAGAGGGAGAAGGGGATGAAGATTAAGTTGATCACCAGTGACCAATGGTTTAATCAAGCATGCCTGTGTAATCAAGCCTCCATAAAAAAACAAAAGGCCAAGGTTTGGAGAGCTTCCAGATAGCTGAACATGTGGAGGTTCCTGCAGGGTGGCATGCCTGGAGAGGGCGTGGAAGCTCTGTGCCCACCCAGACCTCACCTAATATTTCCTGCCATCTGGATCCTTTGTCGGATCCTTTATAATACATCAGTAAATCTGTTGCCTTGCATTTTGTGAGCTGTTGTAGCAAATTAATAGAACACAAAAAGGGATCCTGGGAAACCAAACATGAAGCTGGCTAGTTTTGCAACTGGTATCTGAAGAGGGGGCAATCTTGTGGGAATAAGCGTTCAACCTGTGGGATATGACACAATTTCCAGGTAGCCAGCGTCAGGATTAAACTGAATTGGAGGACATCCGGCTGGTATCTGCTGAAAAACTGATTGTTTGCTCGGTGTATGGGGCAAAACTTGGTAAGACAAGTCTTCTGTGTTGATTATTGTTGAATGAGAGAATTAAAACACACACACACACACTTTGAGTTTGTGTTTTCCACACAGAGCATCAAAAGACTTGAAATCTTTCAATCTGTTCATAATGTCTGTACTATTTAGAATAAATAGTACAATTAAAAACAAACCACTTACCCTTCCTAGCTATGTTTCCATATCTGCAAAAGGGGGTTATTAGTACCCTCATTTTTGTGAGGATTAAATGACATGATGTGCATGAAAACTGTACAATCTTCTACAAGATATAAGTTACTACTATTATGGTCAACAAATGTTTGCCATCTGTTCCCAAATTTTACTAGAGACTGCTCCTTCTACTCCTCTACTGACAAGGAGATATCTCCAAGTGACTATGAAATCTTATTAATTATTTGCTTGCTTTCTTCAGAATGTTTCCCAACACTCTGTCTTTTGGCTTCCCGTTATGGCTGTTTTCGAGGAACAACTGAAAGACTAATGTGATTAACATTAAACATAGTGAATGTTTCTGAAGGAAGTCTGACTTTGTTTCTAGAAGTTTTGAGTAGTTTAAGCTATAGTTCTTCTAAAAGTCAGGGAAAGGACTGAATGTCTCCATAAAGTCTCTATAAACCTGTGGTTTATAAAAAGCAAAAAAAAAAAAAAAAGAGAGATTATATTGATATTTTCCAGTAGTATACCTTCCATGAGCATAGAAAAGTTTGTGTATATTCTAAAATACACCTTTTGATTATGTTGCCTGGAATAAATCAGAAACATGTTTTATACTAGCAAATATGCAGAGCACCAATAGGATAAAAGTTTTTTCTTTACCTACACTTGCTATAAAATCCAGTTGCTTTGCAAAGTACAAAATATACATATATATATACTGTAATAGAATATCAAGATACAAGTCTCCACCTTAAAGGGCACTCAATAGTTATACACACATTTCCATGCATCCCAAACTAAATGATATTAATAAGACTAAATTCCAAATCAGGTACTAACAAATTTATAGGGAAAAAAAATCCAGTTCTGAATATATAGCATATAGATTTAACAACAACAACAAATAAAAAAAAAACTGGGAAAGCTAGAAAAAAACTAGAGGAAAAAAATTACTCCCTTGCTAAATGTTTGACAAAATCAAAAATTGTTTTTAGATATAGCCACTTGTAACTGCATTTAATCACTGCACTTATTCTTGCTCCCTATTAAAAATGACACTGTGCTCTATCTTATAGCAAGGCTGATTTATTAAAAGTATTATTCCCCTATTCCAAACAAACTGGTGAAAAGAACTCGGCTTTAATAACTACAGTTTCTGACTAATGCATATTTTATAGCTACATGACAACATGACAGTTTTCATGAGGAGTCCTAAAGCACCTGAAGCATGGGTGTTAATGGAATCAATCCACCAATGAATGTAGTATTAGTTCATTCTTGCTGAAAATGGTAGTAGCATTTAAAATTCTAATTCCTTTTTCCTTCTTAGCATGATTAGCAAATCTTGATTTAGCATAGTCTTGGAATAACAAACACTGTACTTTTTGTTTTGGGACTTTTTGTTAAATGATAAGCAAAAAATAACTCATGCTTATCAATCACTTTTTAAGAACTTCAAAGTTCTCTACAAATATTCTTAACTAGTCAATGACTTTTACTGACTGGCTTTTTTTTTTTTTTTTTTGAGACGGAGTATCACTCTGTTACCCAGGCTGGAGAGCAATAGCGCAATCTCAGCTCACTGAAACCTCTGCCTCCTGGATTCAAGCGATTCTCCTGCCTCAGCCTCCCGAGTAGCTGGGATTACAGACATGCATCATCACACCCAGCTAATTTTTGTATTTTTAGTAGAGACAGGGTTTCACCATGTTGGCCAGGCTGGTCTCAAACTCCCAACCTCAGGTGATCCACCCGCCTCAGCCTCCCAAAGTGCTGGGATTATAAGCGTGAGCCAGCACGCCCAGCTTGCTCCTTTTTTATAAGGAGCAGACGGCTTGCCTTCAAGAAGTGTGCTGTCTACCAGTTATAGGGCATAAATAGCAGTGACAGTTCACTGCTCTGCAGTAAAGAGGAAGAAACAACTACATCTATTTGAATAGATCAAGGAAGACCTCATGAAGGAGATAAAATTAAGGATAGGTGTTCAGGGGTAAGAAGGAGTTTAAAGAAAAGCAGATGCTGGTTCTGAAGAAAAAGTAGTGACCAAAATTATAAAGAAATAAAAATGGCCAATGTTTCTCAACCTTGGCCTTGGTCAGAATCACTTGAGGGAGGTTTTTATTAAGATAATCAGGCCCCAACAAAGACTTACTAAATTAAAAACTCCCAGATGAAGGCTAGGCACATACCTTTCAAAAAATTCCAAAGGTGATTCTGCTGTGGTCGAGGACCACTGATTTAGGAGGTGTTTGGATAAAGGCCAATAGTCCAGCTGAAATACAGGGTCCATGAAGGAGGTAAGACTGGAAAGGTTTTTTCCATTAGGCTTTGCAGTGTGTTGAATTCCAAGCTGAGAAGTCTACATTGATATTCTTTGGCAATGCCTCTTAAGCAGGTATATAAATGATCAGTGCACTTCACGCAACATTTTGTAAAAATAAAAAATACTGCATAAAGATGAATGGGAGAAACTGGGAACAAGAAGGCAAGTTAGAAGGCTATGCAGTATTTCAGGCAAGGGGAAATAAGGGCCTGAACAGTGCACTGCCAGTGGAATGGGGTCAAAAAAGAAATAAAGAAAAGAAAGCTTTAATTAAAAAAATTACAGTAAAAAAAGTAGAATATTGAAGATGATGAAGATTTTCAGCACAGGTAAGTAGAATGTTGTTGAGGCAACTAATAAAGATGGAAAACAACTGAGAAGAAACAGATTTCAGAGTATTTTGTAAATATTGGCTTTGAACAGGTGACTATGTGCGCAGTACAGGTTTACATCTGCTAATTTTTAACAGTGCCCTCTTCAACCCTCCATAGTGACCCAGATAATAAATTAACATGACCTTAGGTTTACATTATCCCTCTGGACATGTCTACAGAGGGTTACAAAGGAGGATGTGGGGACAGATCCTCAGTATCAGGAAGGGAAACCACATCTAAGAGGTGAGTATTAAAATTGAGAGGGCAGATGACATAACCAACAGAAAATAAGCAGAGAGAAAAGAGGTGCCAAAGGAGCACCCTTTGTAATGGGGGAAGAGGGAGAAGAATTCACACCAAAGAAACAACAAATAAACAAAATGTGGCGGGGGGGGTCGCAGAGAAGGAAAAATAATCACAAAAAGAAAATATTATGGAGTCAAAGAAGTAAAGTATTAAAAAAGAAGGATGTCAAAAATGTTATCAGGGTAAAGATAGGAGAGGTCACCACTGAATATGAAAAATGAGGTGACCCTTGGGGGATTATGAAAGCAGTGTCTGCAAGTAATGAGGGAAAAGCCTCTAGGGTGCTGACAGGAAAATGGGAGATAAAAAAAAGAGAAACAATGATTAAGAAGATAAGAGGGTAAAGGGGTCTTGGTGGGTCATGGGGAGGAACAAGATAGAAAAAAAGGAAGTGAACACCAGGAGGGAGATATATTAACCTGAGGAAGAAGATGGGAGTATAGTGAGAGGAATCTACAATGAAGACAGGGAGCATATTTAATAGGAGAAAAGAAAGTGGAGATGCCCGAGAGGTACGGCCCAAGCCATGACTGTGGCTCTAGGATGCCTGAAATAAAGACCAACTGAGAAGCTACAGTTTTACAAGTATCACTAGCTAGGAGAACAAAGTCACTGAGAGAGATGGAATGAGGTGGTATGAAGGTAAGGTTTGTATTCCAGGCCCTAAGGAAGATGGGGAAATGTCTCAGAGATGAAGAGGATAGAGAAGATGATGGTATTAGGTGATGCAACTGTAAAATACAGACTTCAAAATAAAGGTTTTTGAATAATGATGACAGAAGCATAGTCACATCTTTCAGGTTTGGAGAAAACATTTTTGAGACTACCTACCTATATCCCATACCTCTCCCCTACCCTATTTTCATCAAATATTG